AAGAGTAAAAAAAAAGTTCTTAAGAATTCCAGCATTTAAATTAAAGTTTGGTCCACTTTTGAATGAAATTGGTATCTTCTCTCGGGAAGAAAGAAGATTTCTCATTGACTCGCTCTATAATTTGTTACATACTAAAGTGGATAGTCCCAAGCTGATTGAATGTGCAAGAATTCATGTATCTCAATTTAATTCGAGGATAATTAGGACTTTTTGTCATACTCCGTGTTGAACCACATTCTTAGATGTTGTAAAGTTTCATTTCAAAATTAAAGTTCTTAATAAAAGAAAAAATCATGATGTTATACAAAGACAGTGTGTAGATGAGTAAAACTTGCGTGACAAATGAGAATAAATTGCTTTTCATTAAAAGAAAATGTAATGTGTAAGTGTGTGTGTGTGTGTGTGTGTGTGTGTGTGTGTGTGTGTGTGTGTGTGTGTGTGTGTGTGTGTGTGTGTGTGTGTGTGTGTGGAAAGCGTAATCAACACAAGTCTTCTATGTGCAACTTCAATATCTTTGAAGATATACCACTTCCATGCATTGTGTCCAATATTAAAAGCATTTAGAGTTAAATAGTATAATCAACAACTTTTGAGGGTAACTTTGATCAGGATCTTAAAAGATGATAAATGTAAAACATTTTACGACAGATATAAAAGCAATTAAGTATAGGAACGAATTAATAAGCGAGTTCAACTAAACATGATACAGTAGGGTAGAAAATCATAGACTGATTACGATGTATTGGGTTGTCCGGAAAATAATGCAGGATTTTGGTATTAAACAAAAAAAAAGAAACTAGTTACTTTAAAGCAATGTTCTTTAATCAAAATAANAATGAGTAATCCTGTAAACGTAAACAGAATATTTTATATAGATTTTTTTTAATGAAAACTTAAAATCCTGCATTATTTTCCGGACAACCCAATATTTGTATCTGAACTTTCATAATTCCATGTCGGTTGTTAATAACATCCATATTTATTTTAAAAAGCAAATGTATGGTATATATTGTTAAGAATAGAAATTTATGTTATATATTTATTGCACATTATATTGGTAATTTAATGTGTGCTATTTTTTTCAGCTGACTTCCAAGGTCATTGCTGGTTCCTCACATCTTTTCGGATTTTATTATTAGTACAGGTGCTGTAATTCATTCTGTAGCAAAAAATGGCTTAACCACATAAAAGCACAAAATATACACTATCTTTGTGTTAACGCTGTTAATTGTGCTAGGTCCTTCTTAGATCGAGAAAAATTATGAGATGTAAACTTACAAGAATCGGGTAATTAACATTGCTCGATCTAACAGGCCAGAGCCAATGTTAGGTGTTAGGTCGAAAATGTAGTCACATTTCTATCCGTTAGGGCGTAGGTAACCAACATGGCAGCCATGCATTTAACAGTTGTCTTTTGTTTACGCGTATTTTTATTCTTACGTACACATTAATTAAATCAGACCAATACATTTCTTTTGTTAATTTCTGACCTGTCCTTGTACTCTCATTCATATTAGATACATCCCATATCCTACAAAGCTGTAGGTGGTAAGACGTTAGGATTCAAGTTAGGTACGTCGGAACTAATATTGAATTGTCATTTGTTAGTATTTTCACGTGCATAGATAGCATTTTGAATGAAAGAGTTGATTAATTTTCCTTTTTATTAACTTCTGGCATCTTTCAATTTAACACAAAAGAAAACCAAAACAAACAACAACCTTCAAGGACTGTTATAGCTTTATTTTTGCTTCTACCAATCGTCACGCGCAGCATTGTGGAAAAATTAACGTTTAACATGCTACGAAAAGAAGGGGGCGTTCACGATCTTACTGAACGTTTCTCTATTCGAGTAGACACGAGTTAGCATCTTACAAACATCGTGAAAGCCCCTATTATATACCTCTTTGATTTTTTTTCCTGAGAACTTCTGATTGGATGCACCGGCTGCTGGAAGGCTTGGCAGGACCTACGTTCATTGAGTAGAGTGTGTTATAAGGTTATTTGAAACTTGTCGGATTTCCGTCCTAGTAATTGTCTTCGTAGTTGCCCAAGTCTTATGTTAAGTTGGTGTATTTTAAGTATATGGACTTTACGTCAATCTGATGCCTAGATATAGTCCTAAGTATGTGATTTGAATGGAAGTGGCACCCCTGCCTCGCTGATGTACAGTAGAGGTGGGATTGTTTTTTTGATTTATATATATATATATATATATATATATATATATATATATATATATATGTTACGTACTCGCTAGACCCTTAGCTGTTGCAACCCTTCACATTCCTCCCTTATCACACCTACACGTGTTCACTTCCTAGAAACCCCTCGTTCATTACATCCCCAAGCCTTTGCTAATATTAATATTTTTAATTGAATCCGTCTCGGGCTTTCATCGAGTATAGACCGAAGATTCCCTAATTGGAAGTGATTATTCCAGTTTTGTATTTATTCTTTGTGTAGTTCCGGGTATCTATAAGTTTTTGCGTAAATTGGTATTTCATCCTTTGTTCTAATTGTGTGCTTAATTTGACTTGTAAATGTTAATGGCTTATCGTCCAGATGGAATATATCTAAATATTGGCTAACTAAATTTTTTATAATAATTTTTTCTTCTTCGTTCATATGATCTGTACGCAGAGACGATAAAATTGATTGTTTGTCTTCTCCGCTTATACCGAATCTATTGTGATAATTTTTGTTTTCTGATATTTCCGTTAGCGGTATGTGTTTTTTTATTTTTACTTGTTGTGATTCTTTACCTGTATTGATTATTGGGCATAAAGCTTCATAGTTATGTACCCTAACTAGAGCTTCCGGTATTTCGACCTACCCACTCGTAAATTTGGTACTACAGCGTCACTTTTTTTTCATGTTCCTCACAGGGATTTTGATTATTTGTTCTGTTTCCCCTATTATTTCGAAGTTATAAATTTTTCACGAAGTGTTAAAATACTCTAATGGTATACACTTTGTAGGTATTTTCTATTAAATTAATATTAGATTTTAAAATTTTAAAATTGTCAATACCTAGCAGTATGTCAAATTCTGTGTGAAACTCGAACAAAAAGAATTTCAACTTGACATTGTTACAATTTATTAGTTCATCTAAGCTAATTACGGTGCTAAATTTTTCCGAGCTCTCGCCGTGAGCTGTTGATATTATAAACGTGTCGTATTTAATATATTCGCTAAAATATTTGTTTTAGATTTACAAACGATTTTGTGCTACCAGTATCGATCAAAATTTTCAAATTATATTTTGGAAATATTACGTAAGGTAATACTGATTTTTCTTTTCCGAGAGTCATTAAGTGAAATCTGGGGATGGATTTTGGCCTAATTCTAAAAAAATATTTCGTTTCTTCTTGTGAATTTGGCATATGTTCCATGAGTTTAATTTCTCTCCTCGAGTCTATATTATTAATTTCTTCAAATACATAATTATCTCGTACGATTGGGACGTTATATTGATTGGGAATGTAATTTGTGTGTCTTGGATTTGTTTTTGGGAAATGTCCATAATTTGTATCAATGTAATTACGAGTCGATGTGCTCATTGGTGTTGATTGTGTTCTTTTGGATGATAATTTTGATTAAAATTTGGCTGTGTGTAAGTTTTTCCTGGTTTGTAATTGTTTCCTTGGTTATAACCAGGAGGGTATGCGGGTTTTTGCGGTGAAAATTGTTTGGAGTTAGTGAATTTTCTGTCTGGGAATATGTTTACGATTGTCCGATTATTTCCTTGGACGTAATATTAAAAGTCGTTTGTGAGCATGCTAAGAGTTTCGTTTAAATCTGAAGGATTTCTCGCACGAATGAGAGATCCTATTTTATTACTAATTTAATTTTACCTATCAGATCTTATTATTAATTTTTATGGTATCTAATTATTGTTATATTGTTTGCTTTTAAACATAAAGTTCATGAAATACATTTTTTATTTTTAAAGAAATAATATAGAGGTGTCCGACTCCGTTTTAGAGATTTATTTCCCAAATATGATTCCTTTGATTTTGAGGTAGATCAGCGGTCAAATGGGGCGTCATCAAACCTTATGAGACGCAATAATTGTACAAAAAGTAATGCTCTACCTCAGCTGACGGACGAAAAGACCCGGCTTCAGTTTCTTGGACCTGTGGAATGTGTATTTACGTTATTACAATAAACTATTGTACTAATGAATAAATGCACCTATTTGAAACAACAATTTGACGAACTTTCCTCAGCCGAGCCATATCTGAAAAGTGGTAATCGACAGCGTAATGTCCACGATCAAAATTAGGCAAGCCTATGAACCAAATTCACGACGCAGAATTGCTGATCCGTGGAAGATGCTATTTGATCGTCTACCGTTAATTATTATAATGTACGACCGAAATTGAATGTAAAATCGTTAGGCCTAATCAGTCATTGTTTGGCTGTTGGCCATCTTCGTTTCAGATTCCATTGACGACAGGATGAAGGATACTCCTCTGACAGGAACAAAGAGTGAAAATGGGCGAGCTCAGATAGATCAATAACGGTCCAACTGGTTGTATCAGTTCAACGCGCAGTATACCCAACGTAAGAAGCCTACTTGAAAATAAAAAACTGAAAACACCTATAAAAGTAAAATAATTGTTTTTACTATTGTGTACTAGAAAAAAATGAATTGTATCGTGGATAAAAATAAAGAGTCCAATTTTTATGTTGTCTTAATGGTCTTGTTATATTTTGGTATGTTTAACTTCTCCGAATAGGATAAATAGAAATGATTAAGAACGACCTAAATTAAAAAGACAATTATAAAACTAACTAACTCATCCATAAATATGTCACTTCTCAGAAAACAGTAATGCAATGTTAATATGGTCTAACAATAATACAACTAATACCAAATAAGCAAAAAAAATTTCAGAAATTTAACAATATTACAAAAAGAAAATAGAGATAAAAACAAAATGCAAAACTGGCAAGCGTAGATTTTAATAAAGGACTTCGTAATGAGAGACTACCTGTTGGGTATGCGTAATAACGTCGACCCTCTCGAGAATATAATCACACTGGGTTGAACCTGGGGTGGTCCACGACTTTCCCCTGATGCTGAAACGCCCTTTGAGGACTGTAGACCTCGCCGGCCTCGTACAACTGTCGTCTGTGTACTTGTGCACCAAAAGGGAGAAGGTCTCGTTTTCAAAATAGACAAGGGAACGTAGAACGTATTCGGGCCCTTCCAGCACTTCGCACCTGAAAAAAATCGACATTTAACCTTCTTCATATAAAAAATAATTACCTTATTAATAAAAATCACAATTTATATTATATAAATTTTAGCACAAATATATTTTAAAGCTTTCTTGAACAGATGATATATCTATTTTATATAGTACAACTCTTACTGTTATGCTTGCGCAATAAAGTTTGCTAAATATGAATATAATGTTTCATAGTTCCCGCAAAACTCTTACTTAAAAAAATTCCAAGTAAGCCCTTGCTATTGGTAATTGTATATTCTAATAATATTTTAACTGGCAGACTGCGATTACATTATTTTTTACTTTTAGTTGAGGTAAAAAGTCAGTGTCACGAGTGGGATTCGAACCCACGACCTTCGGCTAGATACGCCGCTACTCTACCTCTTGAACTATAGTGACTTCGATCCACTCAGACACTAACTTCCCATCTCAACCCCAAGTTTTGAATTTTCCCTTCTTTAATTAATTGAAAGATACTAATTGGCCAAGCGGACCACGAAAACTAGGGAATTTAATTATTTAAATAACATCAATTTATCCAATAACTGTGTTTTAGTGTCATTTGACTTTAAATACTTTATTCACAAATATCCCCGTTGAAGAATGTACTAAATTCATAAAGAAAAAACTTACCGAGAATTATATTAACGAATTTATAAAAAATGATAAAATAGACCTCTTAAATATATGCCTACTTTAATTCACTAATTTCGTGGTCCGCTTGACCAATTAATATATTACAATTAATTAAGGTTTTTAGTTGAGATGAAAAAAAGTTAATGGCACGAGAGGGATTCGAACCCACGACCTTCGGCTAGATACGCCGCTCCTCTACCACCTGAGCTATCGTGACCTCGATCCACTCGGACATCAACTCCCCATCTCATAAGGTAAATATTCATGGATAATTTCGAAAAAAAATCTATTCAAATCAAAGAACAAATTGATTAAATCTGTTCATTTCTGGAAACGCTATGCAGACGATATTTTATGTATATGGTCTGGAACATTACAGGATATCAAATCATTCATCCAACAAATTAATTATCCACACCATAATATAAATATTACATTGGACATTAACAAAGATGAAATTTTACATTGAACATTTTAAACATAAAATTTTCCAAAGTAAACAACCTAATTGAAATAGACGTATTCAAAGTCCACAACTACAGACACTGATACCAGCGGATTTTTCCCACCCATGGTCCCAAAAGGCTACTGGTTTCATTTGGCTCATAGACCGTAAGTTAAAACTTCCATTAAGTTAAGACTTCCACCTACTAGCTATAAAAATGAATGGAAAACTATTAAAACCTTAGAAGAAACAATGGGTATATAGAAATATTTATTGATAGTTAAAAGAATAAAAAAAATTAACGTTAAAAGAATCAACAATATGACCACCCCAACATAAATGAATCATTTTCCGTTGTTTGCCAAACGTTGGTGAATTATCAGAAAAAGTTAGTAAAATTTTTGAACAAGAAGGTTTTAGAATAGCTTTTAGAAGTACGGGTTAACTTAAAAACTTCCTAGCAAAACCTAAAGACAAAATAGACAACTTAGCAAAAAGAATACACCAACTTAATTATAATGATTATGACATTAAATATTTAGGACAAAGCGGTAGAGATATAAAAACGAATATAAAAGAACACTTGCCTAAATGGAACAAATTTTCGGAATTTAAGGACCTTCTAAAAGAAGCAAAACATAAATTCAATTCACGTTTAAATACAACAGTGTTACATAGTTTCAACAAAGGGAAAGAACTAGATTGGTTTGGGAAATTTGAAATTAAGAAATGTAAAATTGAACATGGAGATAAATTCATTAATAATTTTAAATATGTACGTAAATAATATTTAACGTCCAAATAATTGAATTAATTAATTAAATTATTATTAATTTGATCATAATATAATAATCCATTATTAAAGTATTATTCTAATTTTTATATTTTATTTTTAATCCTAATTTATAATTAATTTCTCACAGTATTTACTATTATGATATTTACTTTTCTTATAATTCCTGCTTTTCGCACGTTCAAAATTGAGCGGCATTAAAAACAAGCTTCTCATTGGAACGTCACGTTGGCGGGGGTATCGGGGGGTTCACTTTTGCAATTCATGTCGAGAGACGTGGTCGTAGAACTCCTTCATTCTGATGATGAGCTAAAAGCTCTTAATCCGGATCATTGCAAAACAACCTATTGCGAGAAGAAACTCTCTTTTTAAAAAAAGGATTAGGCTAAAATCCGTACATGTACTTATATAAATATAAACAAACCCCAGAGTTGAACCTATCACTTCCGTAGTATTCAGGCTTTTCTAATTTACAATTAATTACCAGCAGATCTTGAGAATCATCCACCCTGGAGTTAGCAGTCCAGACAACGAGGCTGGGCTAAAGAGGATATCAAACCTGGGCCATCCAGCTTCCAACGCTATCACAAAACTGTCAGAACTATATACAAAAAACAAGCACCAATTATATAATCAACCTAATTGAAATTCGATGGGATGCTCGGTATTACGCCGTCGGCCCTCTATCACTATGCGCTCACGCTAATAAATACATTCATTATCGATAAATGCTAGGAACACAAAACTATATACACTGCCCAACATGTTCTTTTACGTGCTCATGGAAAAAAAAAAGCACAGATCAATTTGAAGTATTCGTAAAAAGGGGAATATACTCTATACTTACAAATAAATATGGAAGTGAGAACGAACTGGTACGCAAAAAGATACAAAACAAATAGAAATAATGTATTTAATAATTTAAAGAAAATTACGGAAACTTTCATTACGCAACTCATAAAAACCATCAACAACATTAAAAAATGCTGTCACATTCAATTTTGCTGTCGGGTACAAAGAGACGGGAAATACGACCGAGTTGAAAAACAAAGATTTTTAATGCATTCAACTCGAATAAACTTGTGAAAACTTTTATTATTTAACCCTTTCAAAAAACACTTCACAGCATATAAAAACGAACCGACAATCACCGTTCAAAATGACCGACTGGATATAAAATAAACAAAGCTCGGATTTTAACCATCAAAGTCAACGACACATAAAAACATTGACATGACATGCTCGTTTCAACATGTACAGAACTATAAAGGGATCCGAAAATTTTAAAAATTTCTCATCGGAGATGGTGAAATGACAAAACTGGTCTGACAGATCTAAGCTGATAATTTTATTATTGTAGTGAACGACAAAACTACAAAATAAGTAAAAATAAAAATCAACCAAAAAATGTCTAGCACAATTATAATACAAATAAAACAGCCTAAATTTCATTTATTTACTATTTTGATGAATTATTTGTCAATATTAATCAATAAATACAATGGACCAGGAATTTACGCTATTAGTATTAGCAGGCATTCTTTAGCATCATTTATCTACGGAGTTCGTGCAGCCAAGAGGATTATCGACGGCAGTAGGATCCTGCGTTTCGATAGGGATGGTAAATCATTGAGTAGCCCCCTGTCGTTACGTTATCGCTTTTCCACTCTTTTCCTTTGACAGTCGGGTATGATTTGTGTACGTTTATATTCTATCAAGAAAAAAAAATGTGTCAAAATTTGTTAAATGTTTATAATATACATGTATTGCTAACTTGTCCTTTGATGATATACCTTTTTTGTTGTTTTTGTTTATATTAAGTACATAAGCTATTAAACAAATTTAACGAAAGACCCACACTACCGGATTTAAAAGATAATATAAAACAAATTGTTTATATTAACGGACATTTCAATTAACAATTAAAGAAATTTAAAATAATATCAAGAAAAACCTATTTCACGCCTGCAAATCCTTGCACTTTTAGCCTGACAGACATTTTAAGAAGAAGAAGAAAAATAACTTTATTATGGGACCGGTGTCCCCTACGAATAATATACATGAAATAAATCTTAGCACCATGTATACAGGTAAGGCAAGCCATAAAAAAAAAAAAATAACAAGAATATTAAACAAACATATCAAATATTAACGTAAGGTCTCTGATTGGAGGGAGAGGAGGTGTTTATAGGTGGAATTTAAAGGAGGAAAAGGAGGCATGACGAATTGAAAGGGGAAAGGGAGTTTAGGGGCTCGGATAAAAAAGGATCTTTCGTAGGTATGGGTTGTAGGATGCGGAAGGATAAGGTCAATTAAGGATGAGCAGGGGTTACGAGTGTGATGTGAGGAGTTGAACTGGAGGGATTTGGTGATGTATGGAGGACGGTGAGTGTGGATCCACTGGAAAAGGAAGCAACCTAGGAAATACTGTGCACGGAAAGAGGGGTAGAGCCAGGAAAGTTGGGAATACAACCCCGACAACCGAGACCCCGCGCTTCAATCGCGCATTCCTCCCTTCTGTGAGATCACGTTTGCCACACAGCTGTAATTGAAGAAGGGAAGTATAAGAGAAGATAGGACTTTGGTGGAGAAAGGTAAGCCAGGACCGACGAAATAGGTTGAGGGAGGCGATACAATGGCGGGAAATTTGGGAAATGTGAAGATGCGAGGAAAGGTTTTGGTCTAAGACTACTAGGTTATTAACCCAGGAGCAGAAGGATATGGGATGGATATTTAACGTGAGAGGTGGGATGCTGGGGAGGGAATTGAGGAGTTGCCAGGATCCAATAATAATGGCGATGGATTTGGACTGTTTGAGGACTAAGGAATTTTTATGTGCCCATTCGTTGTTGGAATTTAGGTCTTTTTGGACCTTGGCCGAATGAAAATCGGAAGGGTGGAAAGATATGTATATTTGGGAGTCATCGGCGTATAAGTGGTAGTCTGGATAAAGTCGGGCAGGTCGTTATTATAAATGGAGAAAAGGATAGGAGAGATGCTAGAGCCTTGGGCACCCGACATTTTAATGAAAGAAAGTAAGAGCTAATTTCATTCTCATTTTCACTGATTGGTTCGTACTTGGAATTATATAGCAATCGTATTTAAAAATTATAGAATT